AAGGGTTCGCTGTCATCAGAAGGAGGGCTGATCCGTGTCAACGGCACGCTCGCTTCAGACATTCACCGCCGTCAAAGGAGGGATTAGAACGTCCACACGCGACGTTTCCTTTCGTAAATATTGCCGACACTTTTCCTGAGCTCATTTCACCCCAGACAAAGTGCACCGTGTACATTTTCGGTGCCCTTTGGTCGGCCTTGCCTGGACCCTATAGAACGGCGACCAGTGCACCTGTCCCGGTTTAACCCCCTGCAGGGGGATTGTTTGCCCCATGGATGTCACAACAGTGTTCTGCTGTGATCCAATCAAAACACAATTCGATTAATCAGATTAATCCTGTGAAACACTTAAACCTCAAAACGCTAATTTACGATTTTTAGAATTATTCCACTACGTGCAAAAGAAATTTCAAAATCCGTTTTGCAAACATTTCCATGGTGCACGAATATTGTTTTCCATTCCTCTCGTTTTACCAGAGCCAAAGTCTTCATGTCCATAGAGGCCCATTATTTTATTGCACAAGCAGAAGAATCGAAGCTCGCTGAGGACTAAGAAAAAAAAACAATAAATGAATCTTACTGCAACCCAGTCGACGGCAAATGTCACGTTCCAACCACTATGACGAGAGATAAGTCCTAACACGCTGACATGTGCGGGTATTTGTGAAGAATCACTAACCGAGGCCGTAACTATCTTCAATCAAACGTGACAGGCTTTTCCTCAGCTGGATGTTGCATTGGAAGTGCTCCTCGGTGCTATTTGTACAGGAATGAAATACTGCAGCAAGGATACGTTTGCTGCAGAGAGTTGCGATGTTCCGATGCGACGGATTGCCAAATAGAAGGAACGTTGTTCGGCTCCTTTTATAAAAAATGTGCAAACGCTCATTTTAAAAATTTGGACTCGGATGCACACGAGCGCGTCGTCCCGCCGTGCCGAACAGGCTCTTTCCCCGCCTGCTAACTGCGTTATCTCTTTCTACGCACCGTGCTGAAGCGTTTTATGGGTTCGATCCTGGTCGCCTGTTATTGCTCCCGTAAACAAAGGCCGGAGAAATCCGCGTTACTGATCAGCGCCTGGATGTCAGGCCTTGCGTCAATCCCCGCCGACTCCGTTCATGCTGTTAAATGACTTGTGAAAGGAGATGTGTTCTCCGCATGGGTCGTGTGGGGACCCGGGTCAGAGCGTTCTGTTCTCAGTGCTAAACTTTTCCCCCCTTCGAGCTCTTCCTGGCCTCCGCTGGACCCGATTAGGCACATGGGAGAAGCCAGGCTCCAGAAATGTCCTGTCAGGTGCGGGAAACGAAACCACCAGGGGGTGTTTAGGGAGATGATGGTTTGGGTAAAAGAGAAATGGAGCAAATGGAGGAGAATGCGAAAGCTCTTATCTCGTGATCCCCTGACTAACATTATTTCCCACTTTCATTTCGGTTATTGACTGAGGACACGTCGCTCCGCTCCTGACGCAGGATCTCCCTTTCACACATTTCCGTGTGCGATCCTTATCAATTGTTGCCCTACTTGAACCCTCTCTGCTACTCTGCACAGCCAATTGGCCGCTTCCCTTGCCTGCCTGCCTGCCTGCCTGCCTGCCTGCCAGCCTGCCTGCCTGCCTGCCACCAGCCTGCCTGCCATCTGTCATCTCGTACACCAGATCAAATGACATCCGACGGAAACAGATTGACACAAACTGAACAAGAGGATTACGCGTCACCCTCCCTGGACGGAGGCTCGGCCCTCGCTGCACAGACGCGTATCGAACTAGAACGCCTTGCTGATCCAATTGACCCTAAGTGACCGTTGGGGTGAACCCATCTCACGGCTGTATTTTACTCAACCAGTCCGATTTGCCACAAACCAGACTAATTCTTTCCAGAAAATCTGGTGATATGTTCTCGTACTGCATGATGTGAACAGATATGTCGGCCCAACTATCAATGTTCAAAGCTAAAATGTTCAAAGCAAAGACCTCTTAATACATAATACATGAGAACCATGCTGGCGGGGGGGTCTTTTCTAGAACGCATTGCACTTGTTTGGATTATGAGACGGTGACAAAAGTCAACGGAGAGTTGAAGGAATGTGCAAGTTCAAAGTTCAAACCCACAGAAACCGTATTTCCTGCACGTGTTATGCAGTGAGCGTGCACATGATGTCTCGCAGAGACCTGGCTCGGTGCCGCCGTGTCACTGGTTTGGTGATTACATGTTACCGGGGGGAGAAGTAGGTGTTGTATTGATTCACGTAGGTCAAAACGGGAGCCGGGTGATGGGGGATATTCCTGCTGGGGGGAATATGCGAATCCTCATTACGGGTGTTTACTGCCCCATCTCTGTAATTAGTGGAGGTCTGAGGAATTTATGGTGGACTTATGGATCCGCTGAGTTGCTTATTATGGTTTCCCAGCACCTCATACAACACGAAAGACCCTTCTTCTGCAAACCATGGAGAGCGATAGGAGAACTTGGCTAACCCTCCACATTGTGTGGCTTGCTGAAAGTTCCCACATCAAAACATCCGTTTTACACATTTTGAATCCAATTTTCGTTATTTGCGTAGGTAAAATCAGGTGGTTTTAGTGCTTGGAGGTCGGATCTGAACCGACTTCCGCTGGATACAAACACAAACAAATTGACATCAGGGTTCCTCTTTCCGTTTGCCACAGCGCCCCCCCCCCCCACTCATCCACCTGCACCATCACCTCTCACGCTTCACCTCCACTTGCTCCTCGACGGTCAGAACGACGGCTCGTTTCTCCACGGATACGAAAATGTTTTTCCCTCTATTCAGATTCCCTTCGGCTCGGTTTGTTATTCGGTTGGTTAGTGTGTTTTGCATCATCTCGCACATTGTGTTCTTTTATTCAAACCCCCACATGTCCTCCTTGCCACTGATCTGTCTCTGTCCGGTTCACTCCCTTCCTCTCCTTCTAGCACGCTCGCTGTCTCCCGTCCATCGCGTGTTCTCCCACTCGACGCCGTCCGAGGCTGCAGACCCAGAGCCTGCAAATTTACCCAGCAGCACACGTCACCATCAGGGGAGCGCAGAGCTCCCAAAATAGCCCCAACAGCAATTGGTGAGCAGGGGCCCAAGTGGTAGTTACCGAGGACCCATTCTGACAACCTCACGGGGACGTTTAATACGTCTCCCTGCTGGTTGGCTCATCCTCCGTATGTGTATTTCCTTCCCGTCCTAGAAAGACTGTCGAAATTCACATTATTTGGAATGAATTAGATGACGTGATGCCAGAAAATAGACCGGAGTTCATGTGAACTACGTGCTGTGACACATTTACAGGACACGAGAATCCCACTGATTTATCAAACGCCTCCAGCTTGTTCGGAAATGGATTAACAATCAGCCGCAGGATCTTGTGTCTCTTTTATTTCCTCCCTCGGGGCATCTTTCGTGAGCCAATACAGTAAGATGAAACAAATATGTTAATAGTTGACTGAAATGATCTGTGACGAGGTGGCTCTTAACTAGTCATTACTCGACCCAGCAGCCAAAAAATCTCTTAATGACATCTTTAGACGCCTGCGTAATTGCAGGCTGGTGTTGCACAAGATTAATTAAAGCGGCGGTTCCAAGGGCTTCTTTTGGGGGTTTGTTTGGGGACACAGCATGTTAATTATTTCAGAGAATTTTCGCAATTCTCGAGGGTTGACACATGTTGTCTTTGGAGCCCCCGGTGACCAGACACCCCCCCCCCCCAAAAAAAAGAGCTGACCCTCAGCAGCAGCAGCAGCGTTGTGTCCTGACGAACTTTTACCCCGTGAAGATGAAGGTCTGCGGGGTCACTCAGACCAGCTGAAGTTCTGAACCCCGCTGGAGTCCGAAAGGTCTTTTCCTTTTAATCTGTTGGTGTCGTTTAAAGGGCCGCTCACCCAACGTGACCCCCCCCCCCCCCCACCCACCGTTACTATTGAAGCAATGACATCATTACATTCAAGTTCAAGACTCATGGCGGAGTTTCAGTAGTTACACATGTGCAGCAGATGTGAACCCAAACGCACGTCCCGCGTTCACAGCAGTCGCTTCACACCAGAAGACAAGGGGGGGTTGTGCAGCGATGTGTGTGTGTGCGTGTGTGTGTGTGTCTCCCGATCAGCTCTCTCAGTGTTTCCTAGATTCCATTTCAAGTGGTTTGTGCCACAATCGGATCCATGAGTTAAACAGCAGCCGTGTTCAGGTGCTTAATGAGGGAAACAAGAAGCGGCCGCTGTATTCGCGGAGCTTTGGAGGGTCAGATGTTGAGTTTATCCTTCCCTTTGAGATGCTTTCTCCACACACCACTTTCAACAAAATCTGAAAGACAAACTTAAGTTTTCCACTTACCATCTTTGGTGCGGAGGCCAGATTAAAGTAAAGTAGTTCCTCGTGGGAAAACGACACTGGTGCTGCACGGGTGGAATGTGTAGATGCGTGACAGGTTTATTAAGGTTTAATCTTGTTGTCATCTTCAGCGTCACCTTACATTACATTAGTGTGGGGGACATCACATTAAGGAAGTGCCCGTTTTGTGCAGTAGATGGTGGTACAACCCCTCAGAAGCGGTTGGAGGAGTAAGAATCTCCTCTGTCTCCATCATGCGGGACACGTTTCAGCAGCACCTGCCTGGGGGGGGTTTGTTGTGAAGCGACTCATTGTTTTGTGTGTATTTGCATGTATTTATTTCTGCGTGGTACCTGAAGGCGTCATGATTACGTGTGTGTATCTGTGTCCCATGTACCCTCGACTGGCACTTCATCATTATGCTTTATATCGTCATACATTTCATGTTGATTAAAAAAAACGGTCCTAGAAAACAGCTCACTTGCTTTCCGTTTACGGCTGAATTCATAATACAATCATACAAATATGCTAGAATGTAATATTTATCAGGCCTAATGGTGTAAATAAAACCCTCTTGGTGCGATAATGAATTCCCTGTTGTCTAGTGCTTGTTTGTATTTTGTGTTTGTATTTGTCTGCAGAGAACATTACATTCCACACTACATATGTTTTTTTTGTGTATTCCTTTATTGCAGAAGGCACATTATGCATTTTCATGTTGTCGCTGAATGAACCCAAGTGTAAATAATGACCTTAGTTACGGCCTCGTTCCAGGAAGGAATCACTGTGACACACCGAATGAAACGGGACCATAAATTCGTTTTGAAGCAGAGTTCACTGCGCCGTGATATCCTGCAAAAGGGGCCTGATACACAAAGCACAATGTACATTTTGGAAAAGAAACCCTGATTGAGAGAGACCCCCCCCCCCCACTCTGAGGAGCCAACCTTCACCTGCAGAACAGCACTCGGTAACAGCACTAGATATGTAGAAGTTGTAACGTGAATCAAACAACTGACGGACGCAAGTCGCCTTGATCAGGTTTGTTCATAACAGCAGTAACATTTGTTGTGTGCAATAGCGACACGCACACGCGGTTCACACAGTTCATCTGTCAAAATATGACAACATTATGTGTTACATCATAAATTAAAGTCTGGAAGCTCTTCTCGGGAAAAACGTCTGGTCTTAAGAATGCAGCGAGAATAAGGAAGCAGAAGCTGTAAAAAGTGGGCCTGCGAGGCCCTCTAGTGGTGAACGGTGGGCAGCGCTGCATTATGGGAGCCCCATATAGGACACGCGACACAACCCGGCTAAATGTTAAACCCAATCGCTCTGTGAAGTCACAGCACCCGCCCCTTTTTCCGTCCCAAATGTCTTTGCCCGTTTCCGTGTACGGACCGGCGCCTCCACTAACAGCAGACGAGTCCCCCCCCTAAACAGGAGGAGGGTCGGCGTGCGCGTCTCCGCCTCGGAGAAGACCGCTGAGCCCCTCGTACGCGACAAACACCACCATGTTGACGGGGAACGCTCGCAACCAGTTGATGCCGAGGCTCTTGAAGAACACGCCGGCGCCGTCCGTCCTCGCCGTGTCCGCGATGCAGTGAAAGAAGCCCTTGTACCTCCTCGTCCCCAGCTCGCCGTCCATCTGCAGGCGAGATTTGATCACGTCCATCGGCGTGCCCAACGTCCAGCCCACCACTCCCGACACGCCGCCGGCCAGCATCACGCCGCTCCAGCCTGAAGTAACGTCGAGAGGGAGAGCAAACAGTTTGGCCTATTTTAAAAAACGTTACGTGAGGCTTCAGGCGAAGATAGATGCAGATAACGAGATAATGAGCCTCACTCACTCGGCCTTTTCTTGCCGGTCTCGGTCAGCAATTCACACACCGTGGCGTAGGTCAGGAAGTAGGTGGCGAACGACATGGAGTCCCTCAGCATCAGTGGCAGCGCTCCTCTGTAGAGACCCCTGAAGCCCTCCTCCCGGACAATGCTAAGAAGACAGTGGACTGGACCTCGGTACTTGGGTTTGAAAGTGATGCCTCCTCCTCCTCCTCCTCCTCCTTGCTTCGGCTGCGTCTGACACTGCAGACGCACTTTCACGATGTCGCCCGGCGCCATCACGGATGTCTGTTTGCGGGCAGATGAGGAGGGATGCAAAAAAACTTCAGAAGCAAGACGCCCGAAAAAAACACGGACGGACGGACGAGAAAGGCCCGAGGCTACAGACGTGTCACGGAGACGTCGGTCGCGGGCGGAACGAAACGCGGCATTGGCGCGAAGAAAATAGGGAAGCGTCCGTCACCTGAGCCACTCCCGCCGCCATGCCAGACAGGAAGACATCCAGCTTGCCGCTCGGACCGGAACAAGCTCCGCGCGCCTGACTCAGACACTGCAGGCAGTTCCTGTACGTGCCGAACACCACCGAGGACGTCAGAGTGATGGTGGTCAGGGGCAAGGTCATTCCTTTGAAGAAGCCGTGCACCTGACGGAGGAGGGGGGGGGGGTGAATGAGAGGCGACAAATGACAAACACACACAGAGAAGTGGCGAACACAAAAGCGTCCCCACATTGTTTATAACTTTTTATATTGTTTATAACTTTCCATGCTCATTCGACGACATTTAAAGAGCACACCTGTTCTTACCCCTTCTTTGGAAAACGTCACAGCCACGCACTGCCATATCCCGGTGAACTGCCTCTGCGTTTGCACCCGGACCTGCGGGAGACAACCGGCGAGACGTGGACGCATGAGACGGGACACTGTGACGACGTCGTGTTCGCGGATGGGGTTGGTGTACCTTCACAGTGTCCAGAGGGTAACCCACTGCCACGCCACACGCTCCTGTGTGCACGCCAGAGGAAAGGCAGCATCAGGGACACAGCATAACACAATGGGATGGGCTTTAAACAGGCCACGTGCAGCTGTCAGGGCGGCGTTGTGCCTTTCTATGCAACAGCTGCATCCTACAAAAACAAACATGTCTAGGATGCCTTCACGTAATCTCATCTACGTCAGGATCAGGAAACATCTACGTGCATATACGGTCATAGCTCCATGCCAATACAGCGGGCCGATGTTTAGCCGGGCTCATGCTAACTGACAGCTACAAGAAGCCGGCTGTTACCTGCAAACGATCCGGACACAAAATCCACGAAATGCATCCTTGTCAGATGGCGACTGACCGAGCGACGCTTTTCCTTGAACCTTGAAGGGCGGCGACGTTACATCAGTCAGTGGAAGCGGAGGCGCGTAATCCCGCCAGCCAGTCAGGTTCGCCCGATGTTGGTCCCGCCCACCGAAAGCAACCGAGACATGTAACACCGCCGAACGAAGGGTTACGTAATACACGGTTGTACGGTTGTAATTGCTGTTTTAAGATTGTTTCCGGATGTCACATTACAGAACGCCTCGATGCTGCACATCAGTGACTAGCGAGCGTGGACGCGGGGACTTATGAGCTGTGCCCTCGGTGGGTTCGTCGGGTTACTCAATCGTTCACGGCTCTGGAACGGTCCATTCGGAAAGCAAAGTGTCATATGCGCTGTGACGCGTGTCAACACGAGGAGCCCGGCCAATGAGCGACCGCCTGAAGCGGGGCGTTGGCGTCATTCCTTCCCTCCGATTGGATAGAGATGCCGGGAGTTCCCGCCCCCTACTAATAACTTCCTGCGACGGTAGCTTGAGTGCTAGAGGCGGAAAAACCCGTTGACATCGATAACCGAGAGGGCGTACGCGTTGACGGTAGACGCCAGAAGACTAGTGAGGTCTTTAAGAACCGGCTAGAATATACGTTAAAAAAAAACAAATACAGCTGTCAACATCTGTGCACTGTCAGGGCAGAGGACAGGGCTAACTGAGCTAGCCCGTGCTAGCTAAAATAGAGACTAACGGAAGGTGTCAGTTCACTTAACGTGAGTGCATTAGCGAGATTAACGCAGGCGGCCCGACAGCACAGCGGACGTTTTTGACAAAACGGAACTAAAACCCAACAACGGCGTTGCGTAGAATTGCCTCTCCAGTCGGCGTTAACGTCAAATAACGAGGCATTTAGTCCTTCGGCCGTGGGGGCGTTGAACAGCGACGATGGACTTCGTCGCCGGATGCATCGGAGGTAACGTTACGCTAAGCCTGCGTGTGTTCGTCCCGCTTAGCTTCAGTTCGGACAACGGCGGAGTTGACTCGGTTGACTAAAAGACGCGACACCGTTCCCTGTCTAAGTGCTTCGTTCCCGGCGTCCACCCCCCCCCGTTGAGAAGCCCGGGCGTGGAAGCAGCACACCGGTGGTACTTGAGCACTCGGGCTGTGGCGGGCAGAGGACATGACGCGTGAATTGGAATGCGCCCCGCTTCCCTTCACAGACCTTCAGCGCCTTCTGTTCCCGCACAGAGTCCGGCCTGCAGGGCGGCCTAGTTTGTGCTTAGTTTATTTATTATTTATTTTAACACCGGCAAAGTTTGCATTTATGCTTAGGCATGAAAAAAAAGGGGGGGGGGGGGTCTCCATCCAGGAGAACAGCGTGACGTAACACCCTCGTGTTGTTTTCCTGTGCTTGGTTCATTCCAATGCGCTGAGGTCAATGACCTTGCATGTGTTTCTTTTTTACAAATGTGGGCCAAACGCAGGTTCTTAGGACTCGTTAAGCCCTCGTCCCTTGTTTACTTCAGTGACACAGTTGGATCGGTAATCAAGCGCTTATACTCCTCTTGGTTCAGTATTGACTTAGTCTATAAAAGTAAAAGCATTACATCTGTCAATAATGGAAATACTTGCCACATTAGGCGTTACAAATATGATGTTATTAATCTCCTTTTGAAGATATGGTTAATATCCTCTCAGTAATTTCATGTCACAACTTGTTATACTATGATGCCGTACGAAATCCATCAAAAACGGTTATTTCATATAATACATTTTCATCCTTGCCGGCAATGATCTAGCACAGCTAGCAGGTCTAAATATACGGTATTGCAAGTGTTGTATTGCGTATTTGTATATGTCACATTGCCTGTAAAAACCTAATAATGTCATTTTAAGGGAATGGAGGAACTTTCTTTTGTTTATGGGCTCTTAACTCTTAGTTTGGGGGTCTTTCCAGGAACTGTTGTCAGGTTCAAAGACTGAGGTGAGAAACCCAAACTGGCTTCAGAACATGGGCACGTGCTGCTAGATTCCAGGTTATGTAACGTTCAAAGGGCTCGGCAGCGTATTCTAAAATTACACCGTGCCAGCAGCAAGGGCCTTTTAAAAGGCTTCTCAGATGGGCTGTAAAACAAGTTGAAAAAGGCTGTTTTCCATATTTAAAACAAAAAGAATCAGATAAACTAACATGCATGAACTGTAAGCGTGATGACGACTCTGCAGATGTTCTCACGTGGTTTCTTTTGTCTCCAGGTGCTGCTGGAGTGTTGGTCGGACATCCATTCGACACAGTTAAGGTGGGAAAAAGTTTTATTTTGAGACACCAAATTTGTTAACAACTCGTATAGACCTTTTTTTTCTTTAGGTGTTTCTCTGTTTAAAAAGGACATGCAAAATACCAACAGACCTAAAAATGTGAACTTTTCAATTCGCTGTAAATGTTTTCAACATATGAAACGAATCAAATGTTTTTCATCAATGGCAAAGTCACCGCTGTACTTGAGGTGAGCCGTTGAATCGTCTCCTCGGCGACGGATTGTCGATGTCGGAGGGGAAACCGTTTGTTTTGCCGTGGTTCAAATGACCACTGAAGGATGTCTTCTGTTGCAGGTGAGGCTGCAGGTGCAGAGTATCGACAAGCCTCTGTATCGCGGCACCTATCATTGTTTCCAGTCCATCATTCGGCAGGAGTCGGTACGTGGATTAATTGTTAATATGCATCACGTTACTGTTCCTACTTGACTGTTATGAACCGTATGTGCACTTAACTCGGCTCTTCCTTATGTGAGTGGTTTATTGCCATAAGGGATTTATCTGTAAAGCCTGTTTCTCACGACGACAGTTTAGCCTCAGGCGGGTTCACATGTTTTCATGGCGTCATTAAAAGAAGTGTGCGACTTAACAGCTCATTGTGGCCCAAATCCGCCGTCTGGAGGAGCAGGTTCTTAAATAGCTTTTTTCTGGTAATGGCTACTCTGTTTGTCTTTGTCGGCTCAGTAACCAAAATAAAATGAGATTTATGACCCTGCGTTTTTATCTCTTCGATTAGTTGTGTAACTCCAGGACGAAGAGCCAATTTCTTTACTAAAAGAATGTGTATAGATGCGTTAAAACTTCTCCCCTGACCTCCTCCGCAGGTATTTGGCTTGTACAAAGGCATCGGCTCCCCAATGATGGGCCTCACATTCATCAACGCCATTGTGTTTGGCGTCCAGGGCAACGCCATGCGGATGCTGGCACACGACACCCCCACCAACCAGTTTTTCGCCGGCGCGGCGGCGGGCGCCATCCAGTGCGTCATCTGCTGCCCCATGGAGCTGGCCAAGACCCGCATGCAACTGCAGGGCACCGGAGAGAAGAAGTCCTCCAGGAAGTTGTACAAGAATTCCCTGGACTGCTTGGTGCGCATCTACAACCGGGAGGGTCTGCGGGGGGTCAACCGGGGCATGGTCACCACGCTGATCCGCGAGACTCCCGGCTTCGGGGTGTACTTCCTGTCCTACGACGTGCTGACCCGCGCCCTCGGCTGCGAGCCCAACGACCGCTACATGATCCCCAAGCTGCTGTTCGCCGGCGGCATGGCCGGCATCGCCTCCTGGCTCTCCACCTACCCGGTGGACGTGATCAAGTCGCGGCTGCAGGCGGACGGGGTGGGCGGAGTCCGCCAGTACAGCGGCATCGCCGACTGCGTGCGGCAGAGCGTCAGGCGGGAGGGCTACATGGTGTTCACGCGGGGCCTCACCTCCACGCTGCTGCGGGCCTTCCCCGTCAACGCCGCCACCTTCGCCACCGTCACCCTCATCCTCATATACGCCCGCGGCGTGGAGGAGGGGCCCAAGGACTGCGAGTCGGAACCCTCCGGCCTGTGACGGCCCGGAGAGACGGAAGCGCTCACGCGAACCCTTTTATCGCTCCGGCTGTCTCACTTCACTTGAGAGAGAGAAAAAAAAAAGGATGACGTCTCAATTTTTAGTTTTTAAGTCCTTAAGTCTCCGGCTTGCCTCTAAAGACGCAGACTTGTCGAGGGGGGTCTTCCATGATCCCGTCATAAACGTGTTACTGAGGGGGGGGCTAGGTAGTGCACACAGTGTGGAAACATAGTTTGATATCTTCTATCTGTTGACTTGTGCAGTGTTTAACTGCACCTGTGTGACTACGTAGTTCGTTTAGATTATTTTATTTTGAATGTAGATTGGAAACATCCTGCCTTTTTTATATATAATATGTACATAATATAAAATATAGTATGGATACTTTTATTTTGTGAAAGGAAGCGGAAGCACTTGTTTGTACCTGAGCTGAGAAGGAGATGGAATGTAGCATCTGGTGCGTTTAACTTATGCAGCTAAAGTCTAATCCTCACTGGAGTCCATAACCACTGTCAACATAAATGTCCCGGTCTGGCTGTGGGTGGACTGCAAGGCGCGTCCGTGTGTGAAGCGGCGTGCTGGATGGCGTTACGTTTGCTGCTCCGGTTGGCTTCAACCGAACTGTAAACTACTTGCGCAGCGACTACGTTGCTCCATCAGAGGTGGAACATGGTGCTACACGGGCCACTGCGCATTTCGTTTTCTCAATGAAAATAACTGCATATCTAGGATGTCCCCGGTTGACTTTGCTCTGTTTGTATCAAACTTGCATATTAATGTGTCTCTGAGACCACGGTACTGGTTGTTAGACGATCCAGCAAGAACCACATTAACCCCAAAAGCACTTCAATGACAACATCTGCTTCAACTGTTTAACTAACTCTATATCAAAAGGTAGAAAGCCAGCACAGGTAACTTCCAAGTTTGGTTACTTATTGAGCAGAAAGAAATCCATTTATTATCCCTGTGAGATATTTTGACGGTTCTGTGTCCTGAAACTTGAAAAATGTGTGTACTCATATAATATTAGATTTAATAATCTACTGATGCTTTCTGCCCTGTCAGATAAAAAAAAAATTAGATATATATATATATATAATATATTTGATGCCTGAATGTTGAAAATGTAGCTTTAAAGCAATCTGATCTGCGTTCCGTTGCAGGAAATCAAACCGCTACAAAGAATGAAAGAAAGAATGTTGTGACCGGCTGAGGACGTTCAACGTGTCCCAGCTGTGTTCACCCCGGCGGGACGGGGGGGGACGGGGGGGGACGGGGGGCTCCGTTGTTTAAATTCAAATTGACATGTCATCGAGCTGATGTGAAAGATGCAATATGTACAGGATCTAGTCTTGTTGATGGGAGTGGACTTGATGTAAATATATACATATAATATTATATATTTATTTCAGTCTAAAGTAGTCGTTTGGTTCCCTGAATGTTTTGAAAGTCAGTTTAATTCAGCTGTCGGAAGAGATTTCAACTGCACACTGGGACGTGATATTTTTGTAACCTGGTTATTTATTTGTCAAGGATCTGTACGAACGGCTCAATAAAAATGGTTCAGCATCTGGCTCCACTTGTGCTGATGAATGCAGCTTTCCACAGTCTATTGTTGTAATGGGTCAAAACGGTCTCCATGACTACCGACGGCTGGTAACCAGACATCATTTTCTATATTCCGTCTAATCTTATTTTTCGTTTACCGCTACACATTTAGTGGAGATAAAAAAAGAAAAAAAAAAAGATTATATCGCAGTTTAGTTTACTTTGCTCATTCCTGCGTTTGCTGTTATCACAGCATGTGTGTGTGTGTGTGTGTGTGTGTGTGATGCTTTACTCGTATCAAACCTTATCAGCTCATGTGTTTGTTCTTCCTAGACAGATTTAGCTTGTTTGAGCCTTGAGCACACGCGTGTGTAATGCATTTCTACACCTGTTATCATTCCTACCACCAGGCGTGCTCTTCTACTTAAATCCCTAACACTTCCCTGCATGAGTTCACTTGTAAGTACCTTTAGTGTGTCAGTAATCAGACGCTTCTGCGTGACTGGTGACTTCCTGGTGACTTTAACGTCCAACGAGAGCGTCCGGTGCTGCGCTCACTGCCGTCGTTAAGCTGTAGTCCAGGTAAAGGAACTCTTAACGACAAAATGCCCCATTGAGCCATTCACACTCTGTTTGATGCACCAGGGACAAATCCGTCTTTGTACATCACACTTTGGGTTTAACAGCCACAGGGCGCTTCAGGATTGGACACTGTGCGTGTTGCCAAGGAATGAAGATTGCATTTGCAAATAAACGGCCTACTGTGAACCGCTGGCTGTGTTTGAAAAGCTCATCGAGGTGGTAGAGAACAGTGGGAGCAAATAATAAGGAGCAAATACCGTGGCTGCAACCCGAGGGCCACCTGCTGCTGAGCCGCGGAAACTGCAACGCGTTGGTAAAAAATAGAAATATGGAATTGCAGTCGCTGAATTTTTCAATGATTTAACCTTCTGACCTCCACCGACTCGCGTCAGCTCTATTCTATTGGGGTCAAAGGTGCACTAAAGGATGGCATCCAAGATAAAACGGGTATGTTACTGATTTTAGAAAAGACTCTTTTTAAAATAAGCCTTTTTCACGCACATCTGCTATTTGAATATTCTGCTCGCAGACATTTGTCATTTTATCTTCCGAGAACTCCTTAAGAAAAAAGACTCCTCCTGTTGGAAATCCAACTGTTTTTTAAAATGTATTTGTTTAGTTAGAGATCCACGTGGCAAAGAATAAAAGCGGATGTTTCTTGTACCAACGGTGTGTCCCAGCGCTTGTCTTGGATTTAAATGTGACGTGTAATCTCCAACAGGTCGCTTTACAAAGATTCCCTCTTAATTGAGAGAACATTTTCACTCGTCACTTCGAATCAATCCTTTCATTTGCAAATTAACAAAGGGCACCGGACATCACAGCACCCAGCAGTTTCCTGTGTAAAGAGGCCTCTATTTAAATGCATTGTGTTCTCCTCGCGTGGCAATATGGCTGCCCGAAAGAAGGGAAGGTGTTGTTTGCTATTCTTCTTCTTTGTCAACTCCTTTTCACCAACGAACTAAAACTAAAGCTTTACTTAAAACATCTGAAAAGTAAACAGCCCAGATCGTCATTCCAAAGCCGCGGCTCTTGCGGTTCCCCTCGTGTGGCTGCGGATGTTGGCCAACGCAGGAAGTGACTCGCGTTCAAGGTGGACCTCCCGTGCCTCCCTTTCACAATGCGGCCACTCGCATGCAGGATGGCGGCGGCGCTGGTCCACGCGCTGACGAGGCTGCTGCTCTTTGCTGTCGTGGCGACAGGCGAGTGAGACGTCACCTCGTCTCGTGAGCTTTGTCGTTAAGTTTCTGATTGGGAGAATCTGACCCCCCCCCCCTGTTTTACCTTCTTTCCCCAGGCGCCAATGGAGGACGCGGTCGGGCTGAAGGGGCTCATGAGATTACCGTTCCGTGTGGGGAGCGAGTGTGCTTGCACACGTGGAAGCTCAAAGCGAGCCGCTTGGCGGTTGTGGCGGCCGCACCACAGGACGGGGACCCAGAATGCGTCGTGGAAATCACAGACTCCACAGCCCCAAAACTTTATTGCTGCTCAGGTGACTCTACTAGTGAGTCATGTCGAGATGAAAGCCGTTCGGCCTCGCCCCAGTGGGACCTCGTCCCTGGGAAGACGCTGTCCCTGCAGTGTCTCCTCCTCCGCCCGCATCTCCGCCAGGTCAGACTGACGTGGGTGGATGAAGCCGGCGCCGAGGTGCGGGAGGACTCGCGGCATCGGGTCCAACGGGCGTCCGATTGCAACGTCACCCTGACCGTCACCTCGCAAGGTCCCGGAGACGAGAGGTTGAGGTGCCGGGCGACTGCGGGCGGAGAGGCCACGGCTTCATCGCTGTTGTGGGTCCGAGTCCCAGGTCCGTGTGATTGAGTCTGACCACTTGGTTCGTAGCTTTTAAATGCAACAAATGAATGAAAAACAGTGGTATTTTCTTTGAAGTTCTTAAGGGGAACGGAAGAGGTGTCAACATACCAGATCCTGGGAATCAAGGTACAGTATTATTGTGACCAATCTTTCCTTATGAAGACTGATTTATTATTCAAGGTGTATCTCATCTGATTTATTGTGACACAATATCGAGTGATGCCATTTTACTGAGAGGCACTAAATACTTTCCAATTCATTTAAATTTAAATAGAAAGAAAAGCAAGAGTCCAATGAGAATATTACTATGTTTGTCCCCTAAATGTGGCAGATATTTACCTTATTTTAGCTTGAGCTCGCTAACCTCTGTGGGTTTTTACTACTAAATAAATGAAACGGCCATGGATGAGCTTCTATTAGCTGTTCCCCCGCACGGGTTTCACTATGCTAAGCTAACGGGCTAGAGTTAGCGTTACAGACGTGAGCGGTAACCATCTTCACGTCGACCTCTTGATGAGCAGTTGGCGTTTCCACCATTACCGAAATGAAACCTTCCAAATGGTTTTCATTTGCAGGCGGCGGCCGGGACGTGGTCGGCGGCGCCGTGGGCGCCGGGACGGGGGCGTGTGTGGTTTTGGCCGCGTCGGTTACACTGTTGGTCGTGAAGAGAAGAAGAACAAGTGAGTTCTTCTGAGACTCCGTGAACACGGGCTCACGCGTACGTACCGGCTACGCCCACGTGCACACGCGTGCACAACGTGCAACGTTGGTTCTGCTTTCGCCAACGCGAAGGTGAACGTGTCACAATCGTTCCATTCTAACATGTGAACATACATCTCTGCGCTCCCGTCTTCCATCCAGGGAACCGGCGGCCGGATGGGTCTCACCACACGACCAGCATCAACAACGTAACAACCTTTGTCCTTCCAAATCAGAATCCCCTGTGCGTCTGGCAGACTTCTTTTTTTATTGTTAAATGGACGTGTGTGTGTGTGTGTGTCTTCAGGCGGGGGACGCAGACGACGTGGTCTACGCTGACATGGTTCTTCCCGTCGTCGGCGACCCAGCCAGGGTCCCCGAGCGCGAGTCGACGGAGTACGCCAGCGTCAGATACACATAGTCTGCATTGTGTCACTCCTTTGTGTGCGGGTAACAACTGTGTCCACATAAAACATCTAAACTGTTGCAGTAGTTGCTAAATATCACGCGCCCCGCCCTTTGACTCGGCTATTTCGCAACAGAAAGACGTTCATTTGGACCGTCGACATCAACGTGGGTGACTTCTCTTTATTGACGGCGACTTAATGCGCCGAAGTGCTTCTTGATTGTGAATATTTGTGAGGTTGTTCTCCCTCAAAACCGCATTAATTGTTGTTTTTAATGATCAAAAAAACATGCCTTCAAATCTAAAATAAATGTAAAGATGACAACCGTGGCAATTACTCAACTGTTATCTCAGAAATCCGTTCCAGGAGGTTTCAGGTGGTCAAAATGCAGATTTAAATGTAGTGTGGAGATCACTTGAGGTTTCAGCTCTTTCTTCTTTCCCTTGCCAGTACACACAGTCACACCTGCACACACACACACACACGCACACACACACACACACACACACACACACAGCAGGTGAGAGACTGCCGGAGCCGGTCCCAGTGTTGGCCTATTTGCATTTTAAATGCTTGCAGCCAGCCCACTGCTCTGTTCACAGTGCAGCGCGGCACGGCTAATCTACACACCTAAGGCGTGTGATTGGCTACAGCCAACAGTCTGGGGGAGGGAAGGAGGGCGGGGGGAGATGGTGAAGACACAGACATTGACAAGAAACGGGGGAGATGATAAAAAAAGTGAGGAGGCCTCACCAGGACAGACTGCGTTTAGAGGCACAGCGCCGGTCATCTTTGTAGAACTGTCTTCGGTCGCCATCGTCTGAGGCCAAAACAGAGCCGTGCCGTTGTGCCGGAGAGGAAGCAGACCCCCCCCCCGCCCCCCCCCGCGACATCTTCCACGCTCTGTCGCGGCCCGGGTTGGTGAATAGCACCACAGGTGGCGGACATGATACGAGTGTTATGAGGCGTTTATCAAAAGGCCTGAGAGGGTGACCGCAGGATGAAGGGAGCGTTTTGATTGGCTCGCTTGGCACGTCAGCAGCTCCTCGCGTGCATATTATCTTGATGGACCTGATATTTTTATTGAATATGTTAATAATTGTAAAAAGAAAAGCCGTTGACCTTTCAGCACCGAGCATGTCAACATTTACGGTAAATTGAAGTAATGACATCGTCTCGCCGATTGTGTCCGAACAGACTGTGACTTTGAGGTCGGAGACGGCAGGAGAAGGGAATTACCACACAGATTACCATACCTTTTAACAAGTGGGTGTCTATACGCAGTGTCTCAGCCCGCAATGCCAGAAATACAAGGCTTAAAATCTTTTGTAAACCCCCCCACACACGCACACAAATTGTCTAACCAGCTGATTAGCTTTGGGTCAAAGTCTCAAAGCGAACTCAGGCACCAGTTTGTCTGCCAGCCGCCCGGAGTGGACGGATCGGTGGGGGCCAAATGCTGCCGTCCCCTGGTGTGCGAGTGAGTGGGGGAGTGTGTGTGTGTTTGTGTGTCTCCAGTAGTGGGGCTGTGGGGGGTTGGGTCTCTGGGATTGTTGTGCGTGCGTGGAACAAAAGGCCTTGATTACTGAAATCCTGCAAAAGGCAGGCGAGGAGGTGTTAAAAGTGATACAGTGGAGAAACTAGCAGAACTGGGCCCCCCCCCCCTTCTCCGGGGAGCCCGGGTCCACACCCTGTCTGCACATCGGCTCTAATCCACAAACTGCCCGTGCGGGGCAGATGGAGGCATACATTCAAAAAATAAAAAAAAAGAAGAAAGAGCAAGTTCATTGCTGCAGTTTGCATTGAGGATTTGAAGATTAGAAGCCAACCGATCCGTGAAAGTAACCTTGGCAACACATGTGTGCCGACATGGAGCCAAATACAACACTTATTGCACGTCACGGAAGATAAAAAACAACAACAACAACAACAACCTTGAAGGTGAATTGCTGACGTCTGCAGTTGTCTTTGATTAAGAGGAAAAACCCAAAGCGGTTCCGATGAAACAAAAGCACGGATACCTGTTCGCACACGGGGCCCCTCGGAGCGCCCCGCGCGGGGGGGCGACACGTCGGCTTTTGTTAACACTTCACATTGAAATTGACCCTGTGCGTAGTCTGCTTGAGGAAGGAAGAGGGGGGCGGCTCTGGGACACCCCCCCAAAAAAAGAGAAGCGAATCTACGACAAAGAGTTTCCTGGAGGGAGGTGCTGCTTATCGCTCCCCAAAAGCTCTCCAGCGCGCACCGGAGGGCCGCGCACTGTGGAGCGGCGCGCGCACAATGGACTAGAGAGCGCGAGACCAACACATCAGCTGCGAAGCTCCGCGCCGCATAACGAGCGACTTTCCGGACGATCAGGTAGGATTTTTTTTTTTTTAGCCTCGCGGAGGTGTTTCTCGTTTTGAATCGCGACGCGCGCCTTTTTAGGTTTAGTTCATTTCTAAGGGAATAATTTGGATTAGAAGTATGATTTGAACCACGAACGGGCCTCGGTCATCATCACGCAGCGCGAGGAGGGCCTCGTAAGGTATCGACTGAAACTGAGCAAAGTAAAATGGGCAAATGTCACAATATCAACAATATAATCTAATTCTAATGGCTTTTGATAAAATGTAATCTGTATAAACCAAACAAATAGATCCGTTGGATGTATTTTGAAGTCATGGTGTTTAATTTAGCAATAATAAAAAAAAACGTGTGACCAAAGCAAATGCGTTTGAAGATTTACATTTTTAGGAATTTATCTTTGGTATATGTGAGCTGTATTTACGTTGTTCCAACACTAAACTGCACCGGCAGCCATGTGATTAGGCTGCAGCTCTCTGATTGTGGATGGCAGACAGTGATCAACATAATCTGTTCAACTAATTACAAAGGTGTGAACATATTCCCTAAGCTTGTCTCGCTATTGTTGTCTGTCGCTGAACTTCTCTGAGTCATCTGAGCGTCCCTCTCCTCCATTCCCTTTTGTTCACCGTTCCCCCTGTTCCCCTCCTCCCTCCCAGCTCCCACCAGATAACCAGGTATGATTCAGAGGAAGGAGGTCGTGTTGTCTGTTCTGGGGAATCTCCAGGAGGCCACGGAGAGCTCCGGCCTGGACGCCCTGAGCAGAGTGGCCCTGGAGGTCGAGCAGGCTCTCGCTAGCTTCCGGCTCCCGCAGACCCCGTGTCGGGATTTCCCCGAGTGGACGGGCGTGGACGAAACGGCACACGGCCTGTACCCACCCGATGCGCCCGCGGGCCTCCTGCCTCTGAAGTGCCTCGGCGAGGGCAACCTCCTGTTTGATGCAGTCAGCATGCTGTTGGTGGGCAACACCGGACTCAGCCTGGAGCTGCAGGTGAGAAGCGATGATCTATCACCTCAATGCGTTTTGATCTAAATGCGCACTTTTGCACTCGTGCGGTCAATGCAGTCTCTGTTAAAACGTGCAATTTGTAAAATAAATCCCCGTTCATTTCGCTCCCCAAAAGGTACGGACGGTAGCGGAGATGGTGCTGTGGAAGAGATACTACCTGTCTGGGATGATCGATTCAAAAATGATGCTTCAGGCTGTTCGCTTCAGCCTCTGTGCCGAAGAGTCCGAGGACATGCTAAACCTCCCCGTTGCTGTCTTGGAGGCCATTTTTGATGCCGATCTCAAAGCGTCCTGCTTCCCCGGCTCCTACGCCAACATGTGGCACTTGTACGCGCTCTCATCGGTGTTGCAGTTCAACATCTACTCCATCTACCCAATGTTCAACCTGAAGATCCGACCCTATTTCAACCGCCTGATAACACCGAGGACCTGGCCTCAAGGCCGCGAGACGCCGACCCTCCACATCATGTGGTCAGGCAGGCTGCAGTCCGGCTCCTCGTTCAAGCCGAACCACTTCGTGGCGCTGGTCCGGACAAGCGACCTCGCGACCGGAAGCCCCGACAGCGAGCGGAGGGCGTCGCCCACCAAGAGCGAGGAGCTGCAGCACCCGGAGTCGCAGCTCTCCTACCCGGGCCTGAAGGACAAGTACAACATCACCAAGAGGACCTTCTACCGCTGGAAGAGGCAGACGCAGGAGCACTGCAAAAAGTCAGCAGCCAGGTACGAGGCCAAGTATTTCCTGCAGGCCTGCTACTTGGAAGGCAAGCTGATCCCTCTGCACCAGTTTAAGGAGTTTTTCCCTGAGATCTCGAGGTCGTCGTACTACAACTGGAAGCACGAGCTCCTGAAATCCGGCGGTAGCTTCTCCACCTCGTCGTCCGCCGGGGAGATCAGTCCGGGAGAGAGCACGGAGCAGGAGGCCTGGTCTTCGCCAGAAGCCAAGCAGGACGAGCCGGACCGCCATGAGAACCTGGTCGGCATGTTCGGCCTGGGCAAGGTGGACGTGGAACGGGCCCAGAACGTGGCTCACATGCAGGAAGCGAAGCGCTGTCTGCAAAATTGCATCGCCGTGAACGCCTCCCTGCCCTTCAGGATCTTCAAAAGAAATTTCCCCGGGATCTCGAGATCGACGTACTACAACTGGAGGAGAGAGGCCCTGCTGTTCAGGGGGGGCTACAAAGGTGGCGTTGGCAGCAGTGAGGACAGCTCAGATGACAAGAGCCAAAGTCCAAAGAATCGGTCTCCGGCCGTGCTCAACGGCAACCAGCATTTCGTCCCTAAAGCGAGAGTCTGCAGGCACAAACACAAAATCTTCAGGCTGGCGTACATGAGTAAAAAACAGCTCAGAGATGCCGCGAAGCTTCATGTCCAAAAGTCCAAATGGTCCCTGACAAAGTTCAAGCTGAAGTTCCCCTCCATGTCCCCTTGCTTTTACTGGCTGTGGCGCAGCAGTCAGAACCGCAAGGAGAAGAAGAAGGAGGCGGCTGTGGCGCAGAACGCGGGGGTCGACCTCCCGGAGGGGCTCGAGGTCGCCGCCGCCGCACAAGACCGGATGATTCCGAGGAGGGTGGAGAGTGAGCACGTGCTCCCGCTCGTTGAAAGTCCCAAATACGTAGGAAGGTCCCCCTTCGATGCCCCACCTTCAAAGCACGCGCTTCGCGGCCAGGCCCCCATAGAGGCGCAGATGTTTGCGATGGATGTTGTGGCTCTGGCCAACTTCAAGGCCAAGGCCAAGCTGTTCCTGCAGCAACGCTTTGAGGAGAAGTCCTTCCCCACGTTCAAAGAGTTCCGGTCCTACTTCCCCTTCACCCCTCGCTCGACGTACTACATGTGGAAGCGAGCTTTGCATCACGGCGTGTCACTGGTTCACGGGTAAATGCGTCGTGGCTTTTTATCTAACGGAGAGAGTTGGATGTCGGGAGCTACTTGAAAGCTTTGCGGGAGAACCTGCCGGCCACAAAGAACCTCGTGCAACCCTCTGACTGCAAACACACTACCTCAGATTTCAGGCCGCCATGTTGTCGCGCTCTCAAAGACTGTTAAGTGCACTGGTTTAGCATCTAAATGCTTTGTGTCCTTCCTCTGCCCCGCCACCTCGGCTCCTTCCTCCCTCCTGGACATTTGCACATGTGTGAAAAGAAACCGAGATGTGGGTCGGTTTAAACCCTGCAACAGCCCCTGCAGGCAAATGGGCAGTTCAAAGGTGCGTTTCAATGGTTTCATTTAGTTTGAAGGAGTTTCTTCTTTATTTTTGCATTATTCATTTTTAAGTGCATGCTTTTCTCATTTGATTTTGTTGAAGTGTCTGATATCGCGGAGGGCGATTCTTTAAAGTTTTGTTGTTTTTGATTCTTTGAATGTAAAGAGAAGCTGGTATTTGATGTCAGAGAGGAGTTTACACTCAAACCTTCTCTGTAAACAGGGTTCCTGCCTGTTTTCATTCCTTTACTTTTGACTGTTGAATGTACTCTCATTTTGAGCGTGAGCTTTAAGGTGATTGTCTCAGCATTTGGGTGTGTTTTTTTTTTTTTTTGATGACCTACTTGAAATGCCTTCTTGGATTGTGATGATTGTGACCATATCATGAGTTTTGTAATGCTCACACTGTATTTGCACTGAAATGGTTCCCATGACACATAGAATGCATTTCCTTGACCACCGTGCACCCTTTTTAAAAAAAAAACGTTTACATTGTTTCTTTACTTGAAAACTGAATATAACCGAAACAGGTTAATATTTTCTTTGCCGTTTATTTCCAAACTACCTATTTGCTTTAATGTGCAATGTTTTTCAGTAAATAAAAGTTCCAGTTCCTCTCTTCGGGCGACCAAGCCAACGTGTTTTGTTCCAACCCTAAATTATACTTTCCCAGTTTGTTGGTTTCTTTTCTTAACCAGCGCGTGTGTGAAACTAGCAGCCTGCAGTCGGTTCCGTAGGGAAGGAAAAGCGTAAGTCACCGGTCCTCGCTGGCTGTTTAAACGCTGCTTCATCACGTCGGCTCACTAATGGCGACCACGCTAATTCATAACGCCACCAGTTGCTTCACGCTCCGCAGTGTGTGACGCTGCAAATGTCATCTCTGTAATTCCCCCCCCCCCCCTCCCAGTATCATTTGGTCTTCCTTCCATGTGGGCGAGTGCTCGTCCAGGCATTGGCCCTCCTAATCTCACGCCCCATCAGCGGCGCCTTCCTTTCACTCTCACTTGGGATAAATTGGCGTCGCGTGTTTTGCGGCAGAGCTCTGCAGCACGTTATGACCCAGAAGACACAAGCCGCGTCCTGCTGAGTTAAATCGGGTCCACGACCGGTGTGCTGCAAAAAAAGAAAAGGAAATAGAGAAGCAAATTGCTCCCTCTGCGTCACCACGTGCAAAATGTGTAAACAAGATCAAACCGAGCCGGCGAATAGAAATGAGCTCCGAGGCCGGTTTTTGTGGGTTTTGCTCACCGCCGTTTCTCTATTTATCCAATTGTGCTTATGTTAATGTGGGTAACGGTCCGGGGTAGACGGGATGGAGCACCGGGGGAGGGTCTAATTGTATGCATGGGATGGAGGTGTTTGAGATAAGCCCAGGAACATCCAAGAGTTTAGGGGGAGGGCGAGAGGCGCAGAGAGAAAGCCAGGAGGGGGAACTATTGTTTGCGTCAGGTGATACCGACGACGGCACCACTTCATTTGTAATATTCCAGCAATGTGTCGTCTTAGTCTTCCTTGTTTTGACCTGTTTGATTGTAAATTTCTTTTACACGGGACACTAATCATTTCTGACATTTGGGGATATTTTTAGGCAAAGCTCAAAGGTAACATCACAATTATAATTTGGGGCTCTTTTTATTTTTAATCTATTCGCGTTGTTAGATTTCTTCTACATTCACCAATAATGATCAATCATCAAGTTTTCTGGTGATGTCTTCCTGTTAAATCTTTCAACATCTGCAAATGAGAGTATTTTAAAGGCCGTTTTCTACAAACGCCTGAGCTAGAATTCTCCCCCAGTAGAACTGACTCTCACCTAAACTTACAGTTTCATCCCCATCTATATTCTGAAGAGTACACAACGGCGCCTGTTCATGCATCATTCACAGCCCGATCCCCTTGTGAGGACCACACCATCGAATAGAAGCGCTGAACTGATTTCTTAAAGGTAAACGTTTGTGTTGCTGGTTCGATTAGCCGGATGAGTTGTGGGGAGTCCTCCCGTCCCCCCCCCGTCCTCCCCTCCCGGGACCCTCTAGGAGGAGAGAGGCACCGAATTGGAGAGCGGTTTGGACCTATGAACTGTCACGTGCAACCCTGTCGTTCAATAGCCATGTGTGTTTAAACTTAAACATCTCCCGGACTGATCCCGTCTCCATCTTCATTAGGAGGAGGTCTCCATGGCGCCGAGCTACTCTACGTCGTCTCCCTTAAAACAACCGCGTGAAGATAACGAGTGTTGGCAGGTGGGAGCGGATGTCTGCAAGGACTTTGCATACTGCAGTCGGTGAGGAAGCAGAGGAGCATCTGAAGGATCCGTGACCCTCTGGGGGCTTGTCAATCACCCTCGATAGGAGGACCCTGACATGTGACTGGAATCATTGAAACAGGTGGACATTTTCTGATTCCATACCTGCTCATAAGGGGGAAAAAAAATACACTCCAAACCGAGAGGCGTCTCAGGGAACCACGTTTCTTTATTCCCAGCAGATTTAGACTGCCCACCAGGGGGCAGCGTTTGGCTTTAGACGTTTCGTGGTGGAAACGCTCACTCTGGGCCGGGTCTCTTGGTTTGGAAAGAAAATGTGTTGCTGTGCGGCTCAGGCTGCACAGAGCAGATATCTCTGGTGATAACTCCATTAATAAACATAATTCAACTTTTTCAGCCAGTAATGCAGAAACCAGATAACGTCTGGGAAACAAATTGTATAATGAGGGATTAAAGGGTACAGGAAGCAGACGAATGAAGCACTCTAAAGCATCTATTCTTACGCTTATTAAATGCGAGTCACGTGAAAGTAGAATAATAACATTCCAGGCTTCAACAGCGAGCTAGAGGAAAGATGGTAGATACAAAGCTTATTACGGGTCCGACATGACCTGAGTTTTCTATTCCATCCCCCAAAAACGTTTTGGTTGGTTTATTATCAGACTGAGCGAGTCCTCTCATACTCTTTACATTTTTGTTTCCAGTTTAAAAGCCCCTGGATGGCTCAGCCTCAGTCCGAGACCGTTTTAAAAACATGTACGTTAATAAAAATAAAAAAACTCTCCAGCTGGCACAGCTGGATGTGATTCAGCCTCATGCCACATCTGCTCGCCAAAGCCCGTTACTTCAGGATAACAATGAAACGTGACAACTACATTTGACTTAAAAAACGTCAATTCATTTCCCTCCAGGTGTACGTCTCGAGGAACGGGGAGGATTCTGAATCTCTCCTGTCAGTCGAGGACACAAGAGGCTTTTTGTGAATTCTCAAAAATTCTCTTATTCCTTTTTTTTTTCTGATAAATGAAGGCCGACAGAGGAAGTGAGAATGTGGTCGTGTGTGAAAGACAGAGAGACACGCAGGAGAGTGTGCGTATTAAAGCTAAAGCATGCTAGGTAAATAAGCAAAGGCCTGGGTAATCCGTGTTTGCCGTCACATGATCCCGTGTTTGTGTTTGTTTCGTGGTCTCGTGCAGTGCCGCAATGTGTTCAGGTTTGGATCCGTCGCGTTGGAGGCGTGATCCCTGAACGCAACATCCAGACTGCAAGTCAGAGAGCGGAACGGCCGGACTGCCGAGTTCAATGACTTCGGATCCAAAGATAAGACGGCCGAATGGAACTCCAATGATCCCCAAGATCCGTAAGACCCCCGAGCCCCCCGAGCCTGAGGGCTTATGTGAAAAGAAAGAGTTTTCACAAGCTATTATTCATTTAGCTCTCACACGTTTTTTCACTGAAACTTCACCAGATGCACAGCGATGAACGTCTGCGTTCAAGGTATTCAATGGTTTGACATTGTTGAAAATTCCCTTATCGGCCTTTGTGTGTAGAGGTGGATGAATAAAGTGATACGGCAGATATCAGTCTGTTCGACACAACGAGAAAGCTGGCATGTTGTTTCCTGCCTGTGGACATCCAGCTTGTAGCCCGGTCCCATCGCTGAAATCAGTCTGATCCTTCTCTGTGTTTGAATCCATAATTCCTGAAACACCTCCGATGGGGGGGGATTGTGTCATCTTTGGATGGGGTGGGCTAGTTCTTTAATCCTTTTTCCCCAGTCTTCATGCTAAGCTAGGCTAACCCCTCTCGTGGGATCGCTGTCCTCTACGTCCGCGTCCAACGGCCTCCAATTAAAATGTCTTATCTGTCTCGTTGTCCATTGTCTTGTCTGATGTTGCACCAGCCGCCAAGTCAAATTCCTCGTATGTCTGACATATTTTGGTAATAAACGCTCCTGACTCCTGATGGCCAGTGTCTGCAGAACCTCATAGCTATAATTAATTATCCAGTGTCTTTTTAATGGAATGTCAGATAATGCAGAACAATTCTGATTGCATTTTATTAATGAATATAAGTGTGATATAGAGTGATTGAATGAATTGAATTGAATGAGGAGTGATTGAATGCCACGTGCGCTGTGCTGAGATCAGCCTGTTTAAATAGCAGTCAAATAAAAAGCTTAAAAGCAGAGACTGCGGCAGTGTTTCAGACGGGAATAAAAACGTCACCTGAGTCGGCCGAATCAAAGAATCCCGTGAGTCCATTTTCAGTCCCTCGCTGGTTGTGTCAGGCCGAATTATTGCAGGTGTTGTGCTCCTGCTGCGTCTCAGGCTTCAGTCAGACCCCCCCCGGGGTTGTAATTGTTAAAGAGCTATGAAGATGTTAGATGTGCGCTTTAAGGAACCTTCAATCCAACCCTCCCACACAACAGCCCTCTGCTTCATTCCTGTCAGTGTGTGAGTCAGGAATGAAGCTCATTGTGTACGGAGGGATTCTACTGCTTGCCAATCAAAAAAGGAGGTTGTGGATTATTTATACATGTAAAAAAAATACTATTTAATTTTAAACATAAACCAGAACCGAGCCGGTCCATTTTTCTTTATTGCTGATAATGAAAATAAAGTCGTAAGACAAAGTACATTCACCCAGAAGACACTTATTGCTCATGTCTCGTCAATTGGCATGTAATAAGATGTTTAAAATTAGGACCCCCTCGTGAAATTTAAACTATTTACTAATTAACAGGAGCATCTCCAAGATCCATAACGAGGTTTATGAGCTTTGACCTAACTGTAGGATCTGCGCTTCCCCCACCCAGATGTTTTAAAATATATAATGCACGGAAAATAACTGTTGAGCTAAAAGGGAGAAAACACTCTCGTCCACTTTAGGCCTGTTTGCTTCCTGTTTGTCTAAAACATTAGCAGGACGTTAGTGCTTATTTGGGTGCAGCCTCACCATCTCATCAGGCTGTCGATGAGCGGATCTCGCTGTACAAAAAGGTTAGACGTCGCACTGCAGTGATGCAAATGTGAGATAATTAGCTGTACTTTACCTGTGTGTGTGTGTGTGTGTGTGTGTGCGTTGCGGAGCAAAGGCTGGTCCCTCTCACCGTGCTGAATTATAGCGCTGTCACTTCCAATCAGTTCTGTAATACTTCACACGAAAGCCGAGGAGTCCCAAATCCTGTCTGAGTGCATTTGTTCATCTGCCTGCTCTAAGAGCAGAACCCTCTGATTGAATCTGGAGAATTGAACCATATTGCTTTTGAAAAATCATTAAGGAGGAAGAAATCCTGTATTGGTGAGAAAATGTAGAAGAGGTGGGTGTGGATTTAATAACACCCGTAGGATCA